ATCTGAACTAAGACTTAAAGAGTAGTTTACATGTGATAAGCTAATCTATTAAGCACTGTACCAAGTTGTGAAGCGGAGGTGATGTTGGAGGTGATGTGCGGCTTGCATGGCTTCATCATGCCAGGTTCAGTTGCTGGTCGTGGTTCATGTTCTTGCCTGAGAAGTATCAGTCCACAGATTACCTGTTCTGAGGGTTCCTACAAAGTCACCAGCATCTCTGGCTTGCATCACTCCTTGAGGCTTTCCCCACACAACAGACTAACACAGGGTTTTCACCCTTAACTACCCCACAGCAACATACAACCTGATTTACTCACTCAAGTTGTAAGTTTAAGTGATAATTCTTGTTGTTCATTTTAGGGGTGCAACGATTTGGTTCGATAGAGCGAAATTCGAATCTGACACCTTAGTTTCGATTTTCGATAACCATTATCACTATTTCAATTTGATATTTGAAATACCTATTTAAATTATTTCCACACAGCCAGAACGACATTTTGACTCCAACTCGAGCAGTTTCGAGTGCTGAAATAAGGTGAAACGCAGATTAGTTGACGCTGGGCTAAGTTATCGAATGAGAATTGTTGTTAGTAGACATCGCCAAGTTGACGATGGATTTCACACTAAAAAGTCTGACTGAGAGTTAAATGAAATCTGATGTTTTTACTTTATGAAGAATCGAATCGAAAATGATCGAATCGAGTGACCAATATCAACAACAAAAAATCGAATCGAGGCCTGGGTAAATTGTTGCAGCCCTAGTTCATTTGTGATCACAGATGGTCTGTAGCAGTATGTAGGAAACAGGTGAGTAATTCAAGCTGGCTGAAACTGTGGTCTGTAGTAGTATGTAGGAAACAGGTGAGTAATTCAAGCTGGCTGAAACTGTGGTCTGTAGTAGTATGTAGGAAACAGGTGAATAATTCAAGCTGGCTGAAACTGTGGTCTGTAGTAGTATGTAGGAAACAGGTGAGTAATTCAAGCTGGCTGAAACTGTGGTCTGTAGTAGTATGTAGGAAACAGGTGAGTAATTCAAGCTGGCTGAAACTGTGGTCTGTAGTAGTATGTAGGAAACAGGTGAGTAATCCAAGTCTGAAACTGCTGTAGTAGTATGAGGAAACAGGTGAGTAATTCAAGCTGGCTGAAACTGTAGTAGTAATTCATGGTGGAAACAGGTGAGTAATTCCAAGTAAGTGGTCTGTAGTAGCATGTATGTATGTGGTCTGTGGTATGTAGCAGGTGAAACTGTGGTCTGTAGTAGTGAGTAATTCAAGCTGGCTGAAACTGTGGTCTGTAGTAGTATGTAGGAAACATATTGTAGGAAACAGGTGAGAGGTAATTCAAGCTGGCTGAAACTGTGGTCTGTAGCAGTATGTAAAATCCAAGCAAAACTGTGGTCTGTAGTAGTATGTAGGAAACAGGTGAGTCACTGTGGTCTGTAGTAGTATGTAGGAAACAGGTGTAATTCAAGCTGGCTGAAACTGTGGTCAAGAGGTCAGCACAGTTCTCAATGAAACTGTGGTCCTAATGAACCTGAATTATTTGCATATGTGTTCCAATCAATGCAGATGACACCGACAGGTTGTGATTCTGATGAGTTCCCAATATGCTACTGACAGCGGATAAACTGAGCATTACATTTTTTTTCTGATTGAGAAAAACTCCAACTTGGCAGATGACATCATGGCAATAGTGAATGTTATCATTCAGAGTAATTCAGTAATGATGCCACTACATTGGAACCACATCATGCTGCATAATTGTGAAGGTATATCAAAAACTATATGTGACCCGTGAAGATCCGGGGTAGAATAGGTCTTCAGCAACCCATTCTTGTCATAAAAGGCGACTATGCTTGTCGTAAAAGGCGACTAACGGGATCGGGTGGTCAGGCTCGCTGACTTAGTTGACACATGTCATGGGTTCCCAATTACGCAGATCGATGCTCATGCTTTTGATCACTGGATTGTCTGGTCCAGACTCGATTATTTACAGACCGCTGCCATATAGTTGGAATATTGCTGAGTGCGGCATAAAACTAAACTCACTCACTCACTCACTCACTCAAAACTATATGTAACACCCAGTGTGTAAGTGTCATCTCCCTGATTGGACAAGGTGACTTCTTAACAGAAATGCAGAGGTTAAGCCAAAATCATTTCTCACAGAACTAATTTGTGAAACCAGTTGAAGACCACACAAAATCAATGAATAATCAATAAATAATATTTATACACCGTCTCAGATTGTCAATAAAAATGTCAATGCAGTGGGTCATATAAGTGGCAGAAGCAATAAGTAACAGGCCCTAGAATTACTGTAGTCCTCTCATGAATGTTCACAGTATTGCCTGCTTCCGTTCTTGAACCCAGGATTGGAAGATTGCAAGAGTTTGGTGTTTCCAAATAGGTGTCCATACCACATTTGGCAAGTAGATAAGAAGCAAACCTGAAAAGCCTTGGATATCTCTTTTGTCGTTGTTGTACAGCAAGCTCTTCAAGCAACAGTTCCATCATTTGCTGTGTAACTTGAATCAAGTGGTTGGAGTCCTGCAATCAGCTGATTGTGTGTCATCATTCACAGACAGCACTGGTCATGGTGGCTGAGTGGCCCTGGTTATGATTCTAGGTTGTCAGCACCTTGTCCATGCTCCTTGCTGTAACTGGGTCTTCCTTCCTAGATGAAGCTGGCCCAGCACAATGAAGATGTTAACTCACTCACCCAGTTATAGTAACTCCAGCAAGGAGACTGAATACTTGCAAGTTATTTTAGCTGTTTCTAGAACATCTGTAAACTTTGACATTTTAAAACCCATGAGTGTTCAGCCTTTATGCTCTCTATTCTGTTATATAATTGCCAGATAAGACTCCATTTACATATATGATACAACAGTATATGAGTAGCCTCTTAATAACATTCATCTTTTCATCACTTTTATCACTGTCCAGATCAAATGGAGAGTTTATCAGGTGTGTTGTCAAAACAACCATCTGATCTCATAAATTCAATACTGCTTTGTTAATCATCCAAACATGACTCAGTTTTGCAGAAGTAATCTGATTCTGGTCGTATTTCATTAACCAGAGATTTCATTATGGATCCCATGGAGTTAAATTTTATGATGGATTTAATTATGACAGAGTAGTTGTTCAGCATTGTGTCCATATGTGAGAATCATATCATGTTCATCGTAGTTGATAAATATCCCATTTCACCCAAGTGAAATGTCAATATTTAAGTTGAGCCTGCAGATACGTCTTCAGCACCAAAGACAATGCTTCTGAAAGACTGTCTTCTTGACGCCTTCTGACACATTCCTCACACACCATATGCAAAAATCCATGTTCAGGGCCCCTAGCATCTTCCCAGTCATCAGTGAATACCGTTCCGTATCTCAGTCCTCAACCAGGGTGTTGTGTGACCCCTGCAATAGTTGGAGCCCAAAAAATGACAAATTTTCTCACTGATGAAATAAGTGTGTAATAAAGGTAGCTCGTAATATGAATACGAACTGCCTTGGTTATCGATTTGCAATTGTTGTAGCTGATTAAAGTGGTGGCCACTGCTAGCCGATGAATCACTGAGTTTTAGCTGAGAGCTGTGAATGGGTTTGTTAGTTGATTCTTAGGCATAAATAAAAAATTATTTTGTCATGGAAATTTTCGGTGTAATTCGCCGAAATAAAGCTTTATCTGATGTGATGTGAAAAAGATTCTATATAATGGTAATATGCAGATATTGAAGCTGATATCTGTATGCCACTTAACTCAGTGACAGAGGAGCTTCAGCCCGTACTGGGTTTTGTCAATTATATTTCTTCATGAAATCAGGTTCTTTTTAACTATAGAAGAGATCACGACTATTATCCTAGTGATGAAAATTGCTTGGAATTTTGTCATCGATCATTGGCTGAAATGGGTTTCTTCCAACCAATCAATCATCAGTTATTATAGGCTGCTGATCTTTTGTGTATTTTACTGAAATAACTTGTCAAACAAACGGCATTTAGTGTGATGAAAATATTTTAAGTTGGATTACTTCTTATGAAAGTGTCTGAATAGTAGTGTATTATCAATCAGTGTGTACATCTTTTGCAACGTTGAATCATTAAACAATTCAGATTTCCATATGAGTGATGTTGCTGTTTTCGTTGTTTGTGAAATGTGACTGTTATACCTGGGAGGCCCATTAATGCCTTTCTGTGTGTCCCCACCTCCATGGTCTAGTGTATAGAGTGTCTACCTGGAAAACAGAAGATTACTGGTTCGATCCCCACCTGCATTTTTCAAAAATGTTTTCAGTGTTAGAGTACTTTTGTTCACCTGCTTGGCTCATCGCATAAAAGGACTGATTGATTTTGAGTCCATATATTGTGTCTGAGTGGGGTTTCTCTGTTGGCTATAAATATTTTAAAAATAATCACATTAGTCCAGACTAGTACAAGAAGAAGTCCAAAACACACACTACCTATATGACATCATGAAGCAAACTATTCTGTTCCTGATTAAAACGACCAGTGAAGATCCGGGTTAAAATTAACCTTCAGTAACCCATGCTTGTCGGAAGAGGCGACTAACGGGATTGGGTGGTCAGGCTCACTGACTTGGTTGAAACATGTCATCGGTTCCCAATTACGCAGATCGATGCTCATATTGTTGATCACTGGATTGCCTGCTCCTGACTCGATTATTTACAGACCGCCGCCATATAGCTGGAATATTGCTGAGTGCTGCATAAACTAAACTAACTAACTCACTCACTCACTCTGATCATGACCCTTTGTGAACAGACCGGGAAAGCCTTGGCAATAAGGCTACAAGAGTTGCCTCCCTTATACCAAACTATAGTCGGGCAAAGGGTACATGAAGTAGTCATAAATCACTTAACTTATTTTCTTTTTAGTCAATGTTTCAGTATATTGTAAGCAAACACTCCAGTTTCTTAAGACTGGGGTTGCAATATATATTTGTTTAACACATCACTTTTTTTTTTCTTTTCAGACTTTTGCCTTTGACCATTGTTTCTGGTCCATGCGTCCAAATGATCCGAAATTTGCAGGTAATGATACTGTTTGGTTTGGAACTAAATCCTGAGCATATGAAGGAGTACACTCTTCATGAATGATTTCCATGATTTTTTTCTTTCAAAGTAATAGTTGATATATTCTGTGTACAACTGATGTTATATTCATCATGTCATAAGTTTGTATTTATAACACACATTAGTATTGTTGAAATAAGATCAAAATTAAATAACCATACCAGAGATTGACCCCAATTTTGGAATTCAGTATATGTGATAAATATAGCTCACTAATGGTTTGTTGTAGACCAAGAGTCAGTATTCAACTGTCTGGGCAACGACATCTTGGAGTGTGCCTACGAGGGATACAATGGCTGTATATTTGCTTATGGACAAACAGGTAAGAAGGCAGTTGTAAGAACAGTCTTAGTTAATCTCATTTGTAATAGTTAGGATAACAAAGTTGCAACAAATTTATTTATGTTTGAATATCATAAGACTGTGTTGAAGAATTTGAGCTGAAACAGTCTTAATCCATAGATCACTGTGTGAAATTTGTCCAGGTGTCCAGTTCACAGAATGACCATAGCCCTATGATTAACATCTACAGTTTAACATAAACTTTTTCAGTTCTAAAGCTGCTAAGTGGAGTAGGCCCCTGTTTTTAAAAACACCTTTGTTGTAAAGTAGGATTTTGATTGGGTGGTGATAATGGTTGCTGTGGATAAATATATGGTCAAACACCATGGTGTCTAGGTTATAGAGACCTACATCAACATGTAGTTATCTGAAGTTGGACACAACTACAAAATGGTGACTTGATAAGGAATGCGCATGGACCAAGTTTTTACATAGAGACAACCATAAATATGACTCACCATAGTTCAACACAACAGTATCTGAATATATTTTCCTATGCATATAACTTTCCTATGCACTCAGTATGGTAATGAAGGAGACCTGCATCTCCACCAATAACTGATGCTGCATCTTCATCCCGGTGATGATGGTTGATGTTATTGTTGCAGGGTCGGGGAAGTCATACACGATGATGGGGACGAAGGAACAGAAGGGAATCATCCCTCGCCTCTGTGATGCTCTGTTTGACCACATCGCCAAGGTCACTAAGGCAAACCTGTCTTTCAAGGTGGAGGTGTCCTACATGGAAATCTACAATGAGAAAGTCCACGACTTGCTAGATCTGACAGGGTTGGTCACATCATCATGTTCTCTGCCATGACTATCAGTTAGAGTTGTAAAAACATCTTCTTCCCTTGATATGGAAGAATCTGGAACCTTTTAAGCAGGGGCATCCTATGTTGTCTGTGCAATATTCATGTTCCTGATGTTCTCGATTAAACCCTGATAGCGTAGTAATCAAATGTGAAACTTGGAGTTTGCAGTAAAGTTTAAATCAAAATTTAATCTTTTTTCCAAACAATGTGACCCAAATTAAGTGGAAAAGAAAACTTCACAAGAAATGCTGAATATCCATCACTGATGGCCGCTGTAAATCAATAACAAGATGTTTGTTTCTTGACAGCTCACTTACTTTTTACAAGCCATGCATGATCAATGGCCCTCAGTCAGTTCACACCGACTATTGCGGGCTAGTCCTGAGATGATGGCATGGTCAGTTTCATGAAAAATATCATGTAAAAGCATGCCTGAAGTCACACAGGGGAGATAATCTGCTTGCTTAAAGGATGACAAGATAATTATCAGAAGTTTGAATTTTTATGTATTTTGCTTACAGGTAGGGGGGATGCTTGTTTCTCTTATTTGTTTTTTACCTTTCCTGAATTTGTTAACATATTTACTTTCCATATTCACAAATCTCAACCAAAAGCAGAGTCAGTTGTGACTACATCGTCAGTTATTTGCCAAATAATCAGAGGAACATATGCTCAAAATAGGGAGTTTCATGTATCATTTTTGTCACTGATGTGTCAAATGTGTAAATGTCCCCCACATGTCTACCATAAAACTTACTGAGGCCATCAAAGTTGTAACCTTGATCAAATGATCAAACAATTTCTGAATTCTTTGAAGGGGAAGTAGGTCATTCCTCTGGGCTGATGGTGAGGAAGGGCAGTCATCAATAAGAATATGCAACTGACGCAAACCTTTCATGTGTCTATATGTATATGGCAACCCATGTGTCCTATATCTAACCCATGTGATATCTTAACACATGTGTCCAGGTTCCAGATATATCAACCACATGTGTCCAGGTTCAGATATGTCAACCCATGTGTCCAGGTCCAGATATTCGTCAACCCATGTGTCCAGGTTCAGATATACAACCCATGTGTCCAGGTTCAGATATGTCAACGTCAACCCATGTGTCCAGGTCCATATGTGTCCAGTCAACCCATGTGTCCAGGTCAGATATGTCAACCCATGTGAGATTTGTCAACCCAGTGTCATGGTTCAGATATGTCATATTCATTCAACCCATGTGTCCAGGTTCAGATATGTCAACCCATGTGTCCAGGTGTCATGCAGATATGTCAACCCATGTGTCCAGGTCAGATATGATATCAACCCATGTGTCCAGGTTCAGATATGTCAACCCATGTGTCAAACCCATGTGTCCAGTGTCCAGGTCAGATATGTCAACCCAGGTCCAGATATGTCAACCCATGTGATCCAGGTCAGATATGATGTGTCCATGTCAACCCATGTGTCCAGGTCCAGATATGTCAACCCATGTGTCCAGGTTCAGATATGTCAACCCATGTGTCCAGGTTCAGATATGTCAACCCATGTGTCCAGGTCAGATATGTCAACCCATGTGTCAAGGTCCAGATATGTCAACCCATGTGTCCAGGTCCAGATATGTCAACCCATGTGTCCAGGTCCAGATATGTCAACCCATGTGTCCAGGTTCAGATATGTCAACCCATGTGTCCAGGTCCAGAGATATGTCAACCCATGTGTCCAGGTCCAGAGATATGTCAACCCATGTGTCCAGGTCCAGATATGTCAACCCATGTGTCCAGGTCCAGATATGTCAACACATGTGTCCAGATTGAGATATATTAACCTGTGTGTTGCAACACCTGTACCCTGTTTCCTGTAATTCTGATAGTGTTATGTGTCAGCTCACTGATATCATCCGTCATGTTGCAGGAACAAACAGAACCTTAAGGTTCGGGAACACAACATTTTGGGGCCATACGTGGATGGGTTATCTACCTTGGCAGTCGGATCCTTCCAGGTAGGCTTCAGCACATCACAGCGATGTTAACTAGACGAGTCTTGGCAGATATTTTAGGTAATATGTACCGGAATTAGGGCAGTCATGAAGGAACAGATGTTCAGTATAGTTATTCACTAACTGAAGATGTCTTTTTTCAGTATTGACAGTTCCAGTCAGCTGTGTTTCCCCATGCTACATTCATGTATTCAGGGAAGTGAGGTGGCTCAGTAGGTACTGTTGAACATAGACCCACAGACCGGGTTTGATTCCCATACCTGTAGAGTCAAGTGTTGTTTGCTTACAGTTGCATTAGCAGACTTGCAGCTCTTCATTGTCCTGTTACCCCTGCAGTGATATTGCTGAAATATTGCTAAAGGAGACTTAAAAATAAACTCACTCACTCACTCCCTATTGTCCTGTTACCCCTGCAATATTGCTAATATTGCCGAAATATTGCTAAAAGAGACTTAAAACTAAACTCACTCACTCACTCCCTATTGTCCTGTTGTATCTGCAAGGCTACTCTCATCCATGGACTGTTAGTGAATGTTCGTCAGAACAGAACTCACCTCCAACTGATGTTGTTCTGTTGTTGCAGGATATAGACAGTCTGATGAGTGAAGGGAACAAATCTAGAACAGTAGCAGCGACCAACATGAACAGTGAAAGTAGCCGATCTCACGCAGTCTTCAATATCATCATCACACAGACACTCACCGACCTCCAGTCAGGGGTAGGTAACTCTTACTATTATTGACACTTGTCACGCCGAAGACCCAGGTTCGATTCCCCACATGGGTACAATGTGTGAAGCCCATTTCTGGGGTCCCTCGCCGTGATATTGCTGGAATATTGCTAAAAGCGGCGTAAAACAAAAGTCACTCACTATTATTGACAACATAGAGAAATAGAATGTTGTCAGTGCTGGGTATTTCAAGGTGGTGGTTGCAGCAAACTCAGACCTTATCCCCAGTACCTGAACTGAATCTTGCTGATGTGATTTATAACATTCAAATATGACATTATTATTATTTAGAGGATTGCATGTTGTTATAGCCAACACTGACTGTATGTGATTGTATGTGACTGTATGTGATCGTGTCTCGGGATAAAACTGGAGACATGCATAGAGGATATGTGGTAACTTGACACATACACAGCAGGCCTGTATTTGATTGGGGAGTTATTTTTGCCACATCATAGACCCCAGCATGTGAAGAGCAGTTCCAGTATAATTCATCATATAGCTTGAATATAGGGCAGATTGGCTGCAAACTCACTCACTTACCCAAACGCTCCCACTCACTCACTCTGTGCAGAGTTGGAGTTCCTCCATGAACCTGTCAGCTGGTGTCATATCAATAAGTATGGCAGATCAGCCCTAATGTACCATAATTCAATTTTGACTGCAGATACTCATCCATAATTCCCTGTGAGATAAGATGACATGTCATCTTGAGTTACCTGGGCACCTAGTACACTCACTACCCAGTCATGTTTACTTCACCAAAGTGGGTAAATTCTAAGAAATGCATCACTTCAACCTTTCCTCATTCATTAACTGAAATATTGGTCATAGCAGCTAGATTAATTTTCAACTTTTTTAATCAATTTTAAGAAACATCTTTTGTCTCATGAGTGTTTGTGCGTGAGAATTGTTCTATTGACGTTATAGCACAGTATACACAGTGCAACATGTTCTCCCTACCTGTAATGTACAGGTCATGTTGACAAGTAACAGACAATGTTATAACACTTCACACAATAGAAGTGTTCTATTGACGTTATAGCACAGTATACACAGTGCAACATGTTCTTCCTACCTGTAATGTACAGGTCATGTTGACAAATAACAATGTTATAACACTTCACACAATAGAAGTGTTCTATTGACGTTATAGCACAGTATACACAGTGCAACATGTTCTCCTACCTGTAATGTACAGGTCATGTTGACAAGTAACAGACAATGTTATAACACTTCACACAATAGAAGTGTTCTATTGACGTTATAGCACAGTATACACAGTGCAACATGTTCTCCCTACCTGTAATGTACAGGTTATGTTGACAAATAACAGACAATGGTATAACACTTCACACAATAGAACTGTTCTATTTACGTTATAGCACAGTATACACAGTGTAACATGTTCTTCCTACCTGTAATGTACAGGTCATGTTGACAAATAACAGACAATGTTATAACACTTCACAGAATATCATTTTTAATCAAAATATAACTGCATTGACATTTTTTTGAAAGGAATGTCAAGACAAATAAATACCATGGTATATATATGTTTTCCCATGAGGCAGGTAAGCTGACATGACATGTTGGTTAAGGATGGCTGCTGGCATGTTTTCATGCTCACTACACAACTTGAACTGTTGTATCAGAAAGTGATCCTACATCCTGTCAATCAGTTCATCACTGATATAAAGAGTTGAAGCTGAAGATCAATGACCAGTGTTATACCAACCAAGAAGCAGAACCAACAATTGGTTGATTCCCTTTTTGTTCACTTAACATGTCAACATTCTTTGTGCTGGGATTGTCATGGTTTCTTGGAGATGAACATTTGGCACTGGTTCATGTGGCACAATATTTAAATAATGTTAATGATACTTTTATGCAAAACTGTCACCATGAAGTTTTCCCTATTTGTCTCTTGTGTAAATTGTTAATTTTAAACTATAGTTAATAAGTATACCTCGAGAAACAGAGTGTTCAGTAGCTCAGTTCCTCTCATCAGTTGGACAGTTTGTTACTTTTAGATGATTTAATCAATCTTAGAGAGATATATGAACACTGAAGGAGTGACAAGCAGCCATCTTTAACATTATAGATCTCTGTACCTCACCCGAGTATGAATGCGTGTCTAGGATGAATGTGCCGACCACCTGGGGGACTAATGGCCGCTAATGGCTCACATTGTCACCCAATTACAGCCGTTCATTCATCAGGAGAAAAGATAAGATAACACATGTTATTAATGGTCATACCCACGCCGAGTTTGATATATGGCCGTGTCTGTATATTGCAACAAGTAATGGAAATAAGCTGGATATGGAAATTCATTAATCAAGATAACCCAGTGACAAGTCAGATGAGTACTGGAGCCCACTGGGCTTGTCCTTGTACTCCATGTTTCTGTCAGACAGGATAAGGGAGTCATTTTGTTGAATCTGTGTCTAATAATCCATGGAAGCAGTTGACATAAATCTTTAATTTTTCTTAGGACTACATACTAATGTATTTCATCTAGTTAAGAAATAATCAAACAGACTGCACAGCAAATTTCTACATGAGCAGGTACTTGTAGACAATGTGGTAGTGACAGGCAGGTTGACAGCGAGACTGACAGGGACATATGTATTGGCCCTGAGTATGGATCGATTGAATTTTGCATAAAAAAACTGTAAGTAGGCTGAAGAATAATTTTGGTTACGAAGCAGATCCTGCATGAAAGCAGGTATTTGTCCAAAAAGTGGAATTCTTTAATCAGAAGTTGAATATCACTGTCATTTCAACCCTGTTTGATCATATAATCTGTATGGTAGGTTGATATCTCAGTTATTACAACCCTGTCAAAATGCTACAACCTTTACAGCAGATGGTTTGAGACATAAGAAACAATCACTGTCCTATGTGCGTTTGTTTGATATCACTATGATTACAACCGCACCCCATCCTACAGTATGTACTGTAAGTGGATTGAGTCCTAACAAATCCTGGCCTATAGTCTGTATATTGGTGGATTCTACAACCTGATAATATAGTACAGTCATTGCAACCCCACTCCGGCCTACAGTGTGTACTGTAAGTGGATTGAGTCCTAACAAATCCTGGCCTATAGTCTGTATATTGGTGGATTCTACAACCTGATAATATAGTACAGTCATTGCAACCCCACCCCATCCTACAGTATGTACTTTAAGTGGATTGAGTCCCAACAAATCCTGGCCTATAGTCTGTATATTGGTGGATTCTACAACCTGATGATATAGTACAGTCATTGCAACCCCACCCCATCCTACAGTGTGTACTGTAAGTGGATTGAGTCCCAACAAATCCTGGCCTATAGTCTGTATATTGGTGGATTGTACTACCTGATAATATAGTACAGTCATTGCAACCCCACTCCGGCCTACAGTGTGTACTGTAAGTGGATTGAGTCCTAACAAATCCTGGCCTATAGTCTGTATATTGGTGGATTCTACAACCTGATAATATAGTACAGTCATTGCAACCCAACCCCATCCTACAGTATGTACTTTAAGTGGATTGAGTCCCAACAAATCCTGGCCTATAGTCTGTATATTGGTGGATTCTACAACCTGATAATATAGTACAGTCATTGCAACCCCACCCCATCCTACAGTGTGTACTGTAAGTGGATTGAGTCCTAACAAATCCTGGCCTATAGTCTGTATATTGGTGGATTCTACAACCTGATAATATAGTACAGTCATTGCAACCCCACCCCCATCCTACAGTGTGTACTGTAAGTGGATTGAGTCCTAACAAATCCTGGCCTATAGTCTGTATATTGGTGGATTCTACAACCTGATAATATAGTACAGTCATTGCAACCCCACCCCATCCTACAGTGTGTACTGTAAGTGGATTGAGTCCTAACAAATCCTGGCCTATAGTCTGTATATTGGTGGATTCTACAACCTGATAATATAGTACAGTCATTGCAACCCCACTCCATCCTACAGTGTGTACTGTAAGTGGATTGAGTCCTAACAAATCCTGGCCTATAGTCTGTATATTGGTGGATTCTACAACCTGATAATATAGTACAGTCATTGCAACCCCACTCCATCCTACAGTGTGTACTGTAAGTGGATTGAGTCCTAACAAATCCTGGCCTATAGTCTGTATATTGGTGGATTCTACAACCTGATAATATAGTACAGTCATTGCAACCCCACTCCATCCTACAGTGTGTACTGTAAGTGGATTGAGTCCTAACAAATCCTGGCCTATAGTCTGTATATTGGTGGATTCTACAACCTGATAATATAGTACAGTCATTGCAACCCCACTCCGGCCTACAGTGTGTACTGTAAGTGGATTGAGTCCTAACAAATCCTGGCCTATAGTCTGTATATTGGTGGATTGTACCACCTGATAATATAGTACAGTCATTGCAACCCCACTCCGGCCTATTCACTACATAGAAGATTGATATTCGAGCAAAATGATTACAATTTGTCTATCAGTCTGTACAATATGGTGATATAATACATAAGTCATAAGAACCTCTCCCTGTTCTATAATCTACATGGTGGTTAGACATTATAACAACTCCTTGTCCAACAATCTGTACAGTACATCCAGTTACAAAGATCATTACATTTAGGAAGCTTGGGAATTGTGTTTTTTGATGTATGTCATTTCCATGGAAACGTTTAAAAAGAGTTACAGCCCACTTGTTTAACCCTCATTTCTTACAGCCTTACAGCCTAACACTGTACACTTTCATTACATCAAAACATTTGGATTTTCCATATATACCAATCTTCTATTCATGGGCGCAGATACCTCTTTTGCAGTGGTCCATTTGTGAACCCTTGATGACACCCAGTGGAGGAAGGAGCGTGTCCAGGCTCACTCCTGTTGGTCAGAGAGTCTGGCAGCTCCTTGTGCCAGGGTGATTCTTGAGAAGGTTTCACTTTGAACTTCTTCTTCCATAGCAGGAGCCCCAGAATGACTGCAGC